CCGAACTGTTTACTATCTCCAGCCAAAGTTCCTTTGGCAAGTTCGACATCCCATGAGTGCAGGTAGCGATAGATTGCTGGTGTCAGGCGCGAAGTCGAGAATTTCCCTTATTCGCAAGTACACTTGGCCAACGTGTCAAGCGGAAGTAGCTGTCCACACTTTTGTGCGGTGGTTAGCGAATCTTGGATACTCATATCACCTGTGTGAAGCTTTGATGAAACGGTAAAAGAGTGTCTGATTTAGTCAGTTGATAGTTGACAGCGGACACACATGCAGCATGTTTTCATTTGAGTTCTTTATTTGTGAGAGACTTGCAGCTGTCGGCGTCGCAGTGTTTTTGGCTAAGAGACGAGAACATCCTTGAAAGCAAGCATGTCGGCGGTGCCACCTTCGGATCCCAGCATCGATGAGTTCTTGAGAACGCTCACTCATTCAGCGCGTGTGAGATTGCTCAACTTTGTATCACGACCTCAACTTCGACAAGCACTTGTACTTCAATTGACAGCATTTGTGCGTGAAGGTACAGAAAGAATGCTGCAGCAAGAGTTGCGTCGTTTGAATGAGAGGGATAGAGCAACTCTGCGTGAGGAACGTCCCAGCAGTAGTGGAGCTTCAGGATCACGTTCGTCCAGTGGCAATTGCAGATCCCATCCCTATGCCCCTCCACCTCCCTCGCCAGCAATGAGGAGTGTGCAGATCGCAGTGACTGACAACCCGTCTTCCAGCTCCACACCTCCTCCCCTGCCTCCCCCTGGCCCTCCCCCTCTCCCTCCCCCTCCCCTCCCTCCTCCTCTTCCCCCTCCCAATTTCCCCCCACCCAGTGCCTCTGCACCTGTCCTTCCCCCCCCGGCACTGCCAGGAAGCTTGGTGCATCGTGCGCCTGACCCTCCTTTGGTGTCGAGTACCGCTTCGTCGTCGGCTGCTCCTACATCTTCAGCTACGTCAGGTACTCCAATCAGATCTAAACCCATGCCTACCAGAAGGCGTGAATCACGCCGATTTCGACGCAGTCAATCGTCTGATCTCAGCTAAGTATGTCCGGAGTGACAGAAGTTCGGCACCTTTGCTTGCATCTGTGGCACCTGTGAGCTTTGCAGTAAGGAAAGAACGTGCATCCGATGCAAGTGCTGTGAGTATCACTTCATTCATGTTGCAATGCATATCAGAACAGTTTTGCAGCATCCTGCTCAAGTTTCGCCCCATTGCACCAATGTCGAGCAACTCAGCGTGTGATCCGTTGGCACCTCTTCAGCGCTGGATTTCCTACACACAACAAGAGCTGATCAGAATGAGAGGTGAATTTCGTCACTTTCGGGAAGAAGCTATCTCCGTCCAAAAGATCCAACAGTCCCAACTCGACGTGCTTACCACACAAATCAGGGACACTGAGTCGCAGATGGCAGAAGTCATGTCTGCCATCACAGAACTGTTTCAGAAGCTTCAGAAGACCAACGAAGTGGTGGGCAACCTGCTGACGGATTTGCATTCCATTCAATCTGTGACTTCCCATTGTGTTAACTCTCTCCAGCAGCAAGAATCCTCAGAGTTGCCCCCAACACTCCCAGCAGTGATTGAGGTCTCAGAGTGAAACGTGAGCAGTTGCAAAGAAGACTCTGTGTGCCAGTGTTGCTGCAAGTGTATTGCAAGGGATGTGCAAGAGACGTGCAAGTGATGCGCAAGGGATGTGCAAGGGTTATGCAAGCTTTGTGTCAAGAGCGGATTGCAAGTGATGTGCAAGGGACGTGCGAGGTATGTGCAAGTGCTGTGCAGGAATGTGCGGAGAGACATGTCAGGGATGTGCAAGTTCTGCCGTTTTGTGAGTTGCTTTCATCAGACATGTAACAGAGTTTTGTATCAAGCAGTCTGGAAGCTTTGTAGATTCTGAACAACATGGATTGGGCCGCTTCTGACGTGCTCGAGAACTTCTTGACGTACCTGTTGCCGATCAGAGCCAGAATCACATTCATTACCCGCCTCGACCGAAATGACGACCCGGAAGAGGCACAACCCATAACCGAAACCATGGTGGCGTACACGTTCTTGCATCGTGGGATACAAGAATTTCGGCTGTCCTCCTCGGCTGAGTTGACCATGGGTTTTCAGTCTTTGCATACCACCATACGTTTTGTTCAAATCAATGCCGTGGCCTGCACCACGTTGGGCAGCATTTCCAAACGGTGGATGCGCGCTGTGGTAGACCTAGCACAGAAGCGTTTGCGAGTGAGTATCGTGTCATTGGCCAATGCTGCATACCAAACTGCAACTCAGTGTTGCATGTACTTCGATTCTGATGCAGAAGAAGCCGAAGTCGAATTACACTTAGTGTACAGACTGCGGTTCCTGAAGTTTCGTAGCCCACTCTCCTAGATCTGCCAAGAACAAGACGTTTCGATGCAAAAATCCGTGAGGAAAACAGCGCGCAACGACCATCAACACTGCACAGAGCCCTTCGGGGCTTGTGTGTGTCCAACTCTGTTTCCAAGAGACGTGAGTGAGTTAGACAGCAGGGGGCGTGGCAGTCGCATCCTAGCCACGCCAATGAAGCTATGGATGTTGACTGGATGGGCTCACAGACGTGTGAACCTGTACCTGCATAAAGCTGCTCATGGGTCACGCTTGTGGCAGCTTGAGAGCTTAGCGTATCTGTGAATGCGACAGTCATGAGTGAGGGCTTGCATTGGTCACTTTCTTGCTCAGTTCTTGTTCAAGAGTTTGTCTGTTAATGCGACAGTCATGAGTGAGGGTCTGCATATGTCAGTCTTACATGAGTGATTTGTGTTTGTTCTATGGCAGTACTTCAGATCGCACGTTCTGACTTCTCCTGACAGCTTTCAGCAATATGCACTGATTGACCAGACCTGCGACACGATGTGTCAAGTGTGTGTGTGTGTGTGTGTGTGTGCGTGCGCGCGTGCGGGCACGCGCCCGCGCGTCTCCATCTTTCTTGTATATATATAGCTACAGCTAAAACAAAGGGCAAACAGGTATGTGTACATACATATGTCATGTGTACAAATATGCCAAGGCTTGCTCTGGTGAGAGCGAAGAAGCTGGATGGCTTTGCCACGTTGTCTGTCAAAAACGAAGAATCTGGCATGTATAGCAAAATACACATATATATATATATAGATATATTATGTATATATACATATATCTATATGTATGTGTGTGCATAGCAGTTATGTGAGAGTGTTGAAGCATATCGTAACATGTCATATATGTATTATAGATATAGATAGGGATGTAGATATAGACATGTCTGCGGGCCTGACCATGACTCAATGATCGGTTCTGGTAACTTGCAGAGTAAATGCATCTCATTCGCATCTTGTCAGGGTACCTGAGAGGCCTGAACCTGAACCCCAAACCCAAGGTAGAAAAGCTTAAACCCTGCACAGACGTTTATCTGCGACACCTCTCTGATGCCTCCAGGGATGTCTCCGGTACCTAGTTGACTAAGATAACACATCTACTGATTACATTGGGCAGCGCACATGACACATATCTCCAGTACCTGATTGCCTTTCCGGTATCTTAGGCTAAGATAAGACAGCTTGTGCGTACATTGCAAAACACATATTGCACATATCTCCGGTACTTCTCTGGTTCCTCTCCGATACCGAAGAGAGGCCCGGTGTTCCTGCCTACCTGAACCAATGGCGAACACCACAGGCAACGGGAGGGGAGGGAGACAAAGGAACCGACAGACCAAGAACCGCAGTGGGTGGCGGGGGGAGAGAGAGAGAAAAAGAGAGAGAGAGAGAGAGAGAGTGTGTGTGTGTCAAATCGTATTACCAATGGAACCTTTCTTTCGCGTCATAGTGCACGCTGCAGAGGCACCCATGCAGACTCCTCAGCTAAGAAAAGCTGGCCTGCATGCGGTGAGGACATTACTGAGGACGCTCAGTGACGTACCTGCACAGACCGCCGCCAGAAATGCCCCTAAATCGGTGTTGCTTCACCATGGCCTAGGATGTGACATCAAGTCGAGAGAATGAGCCTCCTGAGTCCAGACGACAGGTTTGAGGCTCGATGTTGATAACTGATACTGCACATGGGGCATGGCCCCATTCAGACTACAAGGTGAAAGGTCGGAGGCTGCGGATACATGCGCAAGGGTATGCGCGTGTGCACGTGTTTGTGTGTGTGTGTACCTCCTGTTACCAAGGATTCTGTAAATGTAAATGTAAATGCAGGGGGATGGAGGAGGCATGTGAGGCTCCTTCCAACAAAGCTCCTCACATGACCTCAGGATATCCACAGGGACGCCTGTGGACGTACCTGCAGTTTGTGACATATTTCGTGGCAAGAGTGAGTGAGATCGCTTTGAGATTGCTTTGAGATAGTCAGGCACAATGTTATCAAAGCTCAGCTTGGAGACCTGCACATGTGCGTGCGTGTACGCAACAGTGGTTTCCTCCTCTGTTGGCTCTTCTTCGAGCTTGGGATAACTTAGGACTGTGGTTTCATGATGGCGTTCCAGCCTCTGGCACGCCTCTTGACTCGACTTGAAGTCCTTGCCTCCGCTTACGGAGTCATGAATTGCGATCAAAACAGCGCTGCGACATTCTCGTCGAGCATTCTTGATCTGGCTTGCGACGGTTAGTGCAGGGCATATTTGAGGGCGATGCACGCATGGACACAGCTTCTTCATACTTTCATAACCGCAACCTGTGCACAAGAGCTGTCTTCCCCCTTAAACTAGGTCCAGGCAGCTCCATGCATGGCTGTCCGGATTCCTTGCCCCAATGCTCCCGCAGATGCACTTCGCATCCAAGGTCAAGTGGCCCGTGTGCCTTGTTTCATGAGCCGCTGCTGCCAATCAGTGTCCGTCTTTCTGTTCTTCTTTCTATTTCCTGGAGTTGGGATGCAGGGCAATGGCTTGTGGCTTGTCACGAAGATGACATCCGGCTAGTAGGTAAGTTACGCAAGATTTCCCTGGACCTTCAGTTAGCTTGAGGACGCGGCTCCATCAGCAACAGCTTGCTGCCAGGAGCTCCATGATGCAGTGTCCGATGATCTCCGTTGCTTTCGACAAGTACGACAAGGATGGGCCAGACGACTTTCATTATCTTTCATCCTAGGTCTGTGTCTGGGCCAAGCCCAGATGGCGCGGTGCCAGGGTGCGAAGCATGTTTTTCGCGGATCGTCCACAGACCGCAAACTCCCGAAAGAGTCTCCCGAAGAACCATTTCGCTTCCGACTGGATGCATTCAGGATGTAATGTTTCGGCATTTATGCATGCCCCCGTGTTTTCGCAGGTGTTGATTCTCACCGCGAATGATGACTCGCTGAAGCCGCAGAAGGAGACGGCTTGCTCGTCAGTGCACACATGATGCATCAATGCCAAACTCGTGGACTTCTCTGCAGGAGACGCTTTTGAGCAACTGCGGTTTCGACGTCGACGATGCCCGATTCATGATCAAGGGCTGCCAGTCTCCTGGTTGACACTCAAGTGCCTGAGCAGTTGCCGTGCCCCTTTGTCGTCAAACCGGCACTAGCTCACCAGGCAAATGTGCCGCCTCTTCTGTTTCTGAATGCGTCCCCTTGTTGAGACTGGGGCTCGCTGCCTGTGTTCTCAGCCTCCGGTTGCTTCATTGCCATTGAGTTCTCTGGCCATTGGACTTGCTGAAGATTATCACTCCATTTCAAGCTTTGCGGGCAGCGGTAATCTTCAGAGTTGGCTGGCAGATGGAACGAACTTGGACATACTACATGTCCTGGTCTTCCCAACGGCGCCCGATGATCAGAGTATCTGTGTGGTCTTGTCTTCATGGTACCGCATGGCCAGCAACCAACTAAAGGAGATTTTGTTCCAGCATGTTATTCGCGAAAGTCTCGCCACCACCACCAGCACCACCACCGATTGTCAGTTGACTCAGGAAGTGGTCCGGCAAACACGTTTCTCTGTTCAATCCCCCAAAACAGATGTCGTTCCCTAAAAGAGTGTCAAACACCGACCGACAACTGACTACATAGCTCTGATTCGCCATCCGACAGTCTGTTCCATCTCCCGCTCTACGACTCTATACACAGCTCTGCATGCTCTTCCAGTGTCTTTGCTTCTCTATGGTCGATTATAGTGACGTTGCCTTGTTCCATCTTGTGCGTGCCCGACCTCTGCCAGCTTCACCCCATATCGCAGATGCCGTGCATGTGCAGGGATGTTCCAGGCTTCGATGCCGTCGCAAAAGGTGAGAAGGCGCATTCACTTAGAGGGATGTCACGCTGTCTTTGCCATCCATGCCACACCCCGTGTGGCTTGTGCCTGGGGACAGACACAGCTTGAGGAGTGTACGCTGGCAGGTGGACGTCGACTACGTGCAGCCGGGCATTGTCTACATGGCCGGGGACTTAGCAAAGAGCAGCATGCAGTCATGGCATCCAACTCCCAAAGCTTGAAAGACAACGGGAAGCAGTGAAGAGTCGATATCGCCTGTCTTCTCCAAAGGTCAAGGAGCTCCTGAAGAAAAACGCGTCGATCCGTGCTATCTTGCTTGAGTGCACAGAGCGCTTTGGATCATTGTAATGGCCCGTGGTATAGCCAGAGTTTGCTGACCTTGGGGGTGGAGGGCAGAGGCGTGGATGAGAAAGACATGAAAAGACTTCTTCCAAAGCCCAGGACACAAGTGAGCAGTGTAGGTTGTATCAACAGCAGCAGTCTCGCGGGTCTGGCATGGTTCAGGCTTTGTTATGATGGTGAGGGCTGCGGTGGGCTTGGCTTTCGTCTTCGAGGTAGTTTGTGTCCATGGTGTTTTGTGCCTGATTTCAACGGCAACGAAACAAAAGAACGAACAAGGGAAGGCAAGAATGCAGGAAAGACGAAAGGGGAGGAGGAAGGAAGAAAGAAAGAACACGCGAACGAAGGAAGGAGACAAAGAAACGAACACAAAAAAGAAGTAGCGACAGGCGGACGTAGAGAAGGACTGCTTAAAGAACATGAGACCAAGAGCCGCCGCCTACGGAGAGGGTGTGTCATGTTAAGCAATGCCAACAACCGCCTTCGCCTCATCAGGGTAGCTCTTGAACTCCTAGAATCTAGAATTTTTTGATCTATGTTCTAAAAAATTGTAAATAGTATAATGTCTAATCGGTGTGTGAACGGAGTGTGAATACTCTCAAGTCTCAACTCCGATGCCCTAGGCTGCCGCCCTATGCCGACGCTTTGCGCCACGAAACCAAGCTCGCCGTCTTTGATGCCATCACCAACGCTGACTTCTTCCTGTCTGCCCGGCAGGAGCGGAGGGCTAGTCTGCGAATCCTGGATAAAGTGGTGTACATGTGACTTGTTTCACATTTCTCTTGATGTCCAGATGCTGCCGATAAACCATCCCATTGAGTCACTCTGCGTCCCCGTTGCATTCAGGTTTGCGACCTTCAGAGTACTACGAATCTTAGTCTCCCGGCTTCTCTTCACAAAGTTCAAGATAGTTCAGGATTCTAGCCTCCAGCTTTGCGAGCAGTCCGCCATGGTGTCAGGACAACCCTCGCTTTGGCTTCAACCAGTGGCAGCTGGATTGGGATGGCGAGCAGGAGCCGGTGCTAGCTTCTCTGTCAGGATAATTTAGTCGCTGGAGGCCGCGGGTAAGAACCGTCGAAATGCCAGTGCCGATGCCAGGATGAGTACGTATTCGGGCAGCACCTGAATGCGCAGCAGATGGAGAAGCTAATCAACTAAAGCGAGCTTGGGTGTTTTGACAGCTTGCGATTGGCTTGACATGGTGGCCGTTTGTTTGTATCCTTCCACTCCCGGGGGAATTTGGACAAAAACAGCATTCGACACACAAGTGCATCAAAAGCCTCGGGAAGAGAGGGATGTAGCGTTCCAGCCATGGAAGTGGCGATCCTTGTAGCCAGCGTTGAATCAGAATTTGCGCGACTGAGCTGTCTTTGCGGCTGTTTGTCGTACATTCAACTTGTGCCGTGCTGCCATAAGTGGGTAACATGAAACCCATGGCATGATGATTGCTAACCGTAGCGTGTCGCGAACGAGATCGTCGACAAGAGAACACACAATGGCAGTTAATTAAAGCACATGCCTGGTTTTTCACACTGCGACAGTGCTGAGCTTGAATTGCTGCTCCCAAGAAGACCTTGGGCACTGCGATGATTTGTAGGCTACAACCTGTGCTGCTGTCGGCGCTCAGTGCCGGCAGCCGTCAAACCACGAGCTCGTGCTCAGAAGAAATGGGCGAGGGTCTCCTGCATAATGTAGTCTGACTTCTCAGCCTTTCTTTCTGGAGGCTGAGATAGTGTGTTGACACTCAAACAGGGCTGTTCCATGGCAGCTCTTTCACTGAGGGTACTAGCCGCCAGTTCCTCAACTTGGCGGCAAGCGGGTATGAGCCGTCCAACCGTGCCACGAGCACTACGAAGCACCCAGTACGGGATCGACGAGCATTCAGTGCGTCGCTAGACGCGAGGGGCGACACACTCAGTTTGCAAGAGGTTCAGACGAATCACATAGGCAGCCTGAAAGCAGCTTGACACAAGCATTGTCCTGCACATAGCCACGGGTACTCCCATGCTGCTTCTTAATATCAACTCGTAGTTCAGGAGCAGGGACGACTCCAAAGGTGCGGCTCGTTTGAAGCCTGTGGCATCTTATCTTTAGTACAGCTGCTGCTGCTGTGTGCTGCGTAGGAGAGTTTCCATCTGAGCCTTGAGCCAACAACATCTCAGCTGGCCTTCTGACTGCTGCATCAGTCCGCGCAGCCTCCTCCTTGGACCAAGCATAACTCAGCATTACCAAGCCTGTAGCCTCGCACTGGCACGTTCGACAAGTCCGCGGGCTTAAATGAACCTGAAACCCTGGATTGGCAGGCAGTGGATATGCTCCAGAGTCCCCGAGGCTGGAATCGCTTCAGTCTGTCCTTGTCTTGACGTGGCATGTATATTGAAACAGACAGGAGCACGAGCTTATGATGCTGCTCACTGCTGCCTCTAATTCTGCTGATTCATCGCCAGCCCCCTCGCCTTTTTGTGCAAGGGATGCAACTGTCCATGTCAAGCCCCTGCCCGGCCCCATTCGGCCCTTCGGCCCTGCCCTCACCGGAGGCCTGCAGCCACAGGTCGGCGAGGCTGTTCACGTGCTCGCTCTTTGTGCAAGATCGCAGGAGAGTTTCAGGGCCGATGACCCCGTTAGGTCCAGCCGGGTTGCAGAGCCAGACCAATGTTCCATGCAGTGATTGCAGTGGAGGTCCACCAACCGCCGTTCGTGAGGATGAGTCCGATGAGGACAATCTCGAAGCTGCTTTCTATACGTCATCTAATGATATTGGAAGAAGCAAAGTTTTTGCAATTCACCTTGTGTCTCTGGTTTCTGGGATTGTTTCTGCTCGTGTGCGTGGCTCTCTGCCTGCCTGCCTGCCTGCTTGCCGTCAGCAGCGAACCCAGCCATCACCACTTGAACCGAACTTGGATCAGCTCTCGGGGTCTATAAGACTTCAGGTTCCATGCTTGGCACAGACAGACAGACAGACAGTCATACGGACAGACGGACTGAGACAGATAGAGACAGTCAGTGACAGCCAGTGACGGAGAGACAGAGAAAGACAGATAGAGACAGATGGAGACAGGCACAGACAGAGACAGACACTCTCGCCGACTTTTCCAGGAGGACGGTACAGAAGAGATCTTTAGCATGGCCAAGTTCCAGCCGGCTGGGGACCTTCACAGCCTTGAGAGCACAGCAGCAAGAGATGTGCAACAAGAGCAATCCGGCAAGCAGACGTTGCACAAAAGAGGCAGCTTGAAGCGTCTGACGACGTGAGGACTTCATTTGCCAGAAAATGTTAATGCTGAACAGCAATGCCGTCGCATTGCAAAGTGTTGCGCAGTTCGTGTTGCGACGTCTCCACTCAGATGTTTGTCACTACAGCACTTAAGCACAATCCAGTGAACTTGCCGAGCTTGCCGTTCAGCAGCACCGGCGACGTAATGTCTGGCCAATTTCGCCGCTCGCCATGTCTGCACTCGTGCGGTCACCGTGTGGTCATGGTACAGCTGAGGTGCGTGCTAATCTGGGCCCTGGAAGTGGTTCCAATCTACGGGTCGCAGCAGCATGATTGGAATCCTGCATGATTCAGTCACTCAGGCAGCCGATTCAGGCGCCTGCCATGAGACTGGGCAGCCTTTCGTTCGCAGTAGTATTTCAGGCCTAAACTCAACACTCGTGCGAATGGGGCATAGGGCCCTTGTCGCCTGTCCGTGCATCAGTCGGTGTCTCGGTCGGGGTGTCGGCTGTTTTGGTCAGTGTGCAGGTCGGCTGTCGGTGTCGGTCTGTACTGGTCATGTGCACTCTGTGGCCGTCTCTTGCCATTTAGAACTTTCTGCCTGGACAACTCCAATGCATAGTTGACAAGCGGTCATGTTCCTGCGGGAAGAACGAGAAGGCTGCGCCTAGCCGAGCTTGAGTTGCCACACTCCTGGATGCAAATCCTGGACGGCTCTGATCGAGATGCTTTCCAAGAACAAGGCAATCGTTCGACCGGGAACGTGGCTCATAAACAAAGGTGCAGTTCGGGTGCCTGCATCTCATGAATCTATATAAGCATGGATCTTTGCCACTGCCGTCAGCTCCATGCAACCTTCGGAGTTGCCTAGCTAGGAGCTGCAGTCGCATCTTGCAATGCCAGCCAGGCGTGGGCGCTGGCAGCAGCAAAAGATCAAAGCGATGAGGAGGACTTCGACCTTGCATCGGTTCCTTGTGCCTCGAAGCCTTCGCCAGCAGCCAGAGGACAGTGGCGATGACGAGCTTGCCCGGAGCTCAGCCAGGTTCCGGTCCGCAGCGAGGCTGACCGACATTGCTCCGGAAAATACTGTATCAAACAACAGCACAGTGAACGAGTGTTGAGATGGTTGACTTGAGACATAGCAGATGGATAGAATTCAGGATACAGTAGTTGGACGTAGTTGGTTCAAGCCTCCCATCAACACGGTGTTTAAAGGGCGTCGAAGCAAACCCAACCCAACTTCCAAAGGACTGGATCGCCCAGCGCCAAAAGGCCGTTGGGGGGCAGCTAACCCTGGGATGGATTGAGGACTTCATTGTTACACCTCTTGGGGCTTTGGCATTGTTCCGAGTTCTGTGCAGGTGCCTATTCCAGTTCTCTGAAGCCCCTCGACCTGAGAAAGCCTTTGCAGTGAGAGTACTTTGCATCATCATATTGCCCATCAGATGCGCGGTGCTGTTCCATCTGCATGGCCCTCGAAGGGCCTGTGATTCTGCTGCGTGGCTGCTGGTGTTTCCGTCGCCTGTAAACTGGTGCGGCAGGATGTCAGACAACCACAGTAGCTGTGATTCGCTTTTCGAGTCTCCTGGCTGGGTGCCTCCGAGGCGCTGCCTTCCATGATGCCAGCTGCCTCACTGCCCAGCATGAGGGCTTTGCGCTCGGCCTGTGCTGGGGTTTGTTTTTTCCCCTCCTGCCGGTTCTTGTTGTTTGACACAGCGTCTTTTCCATTGTCCAATGGTTTCAGGTCGGTCGATGGCGCTTTTCTTTGCTTCGTGTCCCTTCGTGATGGATGCACGTCCTTCCTGTTTGCTATGATCGTCAGGGCTTGCGGCGGCAGCAGTAGCCGGGTCTGTGTCGTTCGCGTCTTGTTCCGGCCCACAGGTACTCCTGGCATTCTCTTCATCATCTTGTTATTCTTCTTGTTGTTGTTGTTGCTGCTGCTGCTGCCGCTCTCGCTCTCGCTCTCGCTCTCGCTCTCGCTCTCGCTCTCGCTCTCGCTCGTGCTGTTGCTGCTGTTGCTGCTGTCGCTGTCGTCGAGGTCGTGGTCGTGGTCGTGGTTGTTGTGGTCGTGGTTGTGGTTGTGGTCGTTGTTGTTCGTGTTGTTGTTGGTGTTGCTGTTGTTGTTGTTGTGGTGGTGGTGTTGGTGGTGGTGGTGAGGTGGTGCTGGTTCTGGTTCTGGCAAACAAACTGCGCATGCAGTCGGCAATTGCAGAACGGTTCAAGCATGGCTTGCAGGGGCATCGTGACATCATGCAAAGCGACTCCGAGCTTGGCCGAAACGGACTTTCCGCACCGTCCTTTGCCTAAGTTAGCAAAGTTGTATCTCACGCGAAGGCGACCATGCAGACGGACTAGAAGCAAAGATCAGGGGACGGCTTGCCCAACTCATGCCAAACAATAAGAACGGCTGGGGGGGGTTTCAATTTGTAGACGGCACACCTTGCCTCGGCCCTTCCCGAAGCCTATTAGGTGCTCCCAGCCAAGTCTGCCGCACCAGGCTTCGGGTGGCCGAGGGCCTAAGGATGACGAGGACTCCGACAGTGATGCCGGTGCCTCGAAATGCGTTGCATAAGGGCTTTGCAGGCAGCTGTGATGGCTCCCAGGAGTGGGGGTAGTACTTCAGCTTCGAAGCCGTCGTAAGTCTAGTGCACTTCGGAATGTGTTTGTTGATTGCAGTCATATTTTTCACTCCTATTCTTCTGAATTCTACTGGTAATCAAATTCCAAGGTCATTGAAAACCTAGTTTGTATTCAGATTCTAAGGATGCTGAAGCGTATGATAAGACCATGAGCTCAGCAGCAGCAGCAGCAGCAGCAGCAGCAGCAGCAGCAGCAGCAGCAGCAGCAGCAGCAGCAGCAGCAGCAGCAGCAGCAGCAGCAGCAGCAGCAGCAGCAGCAGCAGCAGCAGCAGCAGCAGCAGCAGCAGCAGCAGCGGCAGCGGCAGCGGCAGCAGCAGCGGTGGTGGTGGCAGCGTGGCGGTGTTGCGAGTGATGGCGATGGTGATGACGGTGTCGTGGTGGTTATCATCACCATCATCATCACCATCACCATCATCACCATCTTCATCATCATCATCATCATCACCGTCATCACCGTCATCATCATCATCATCATGCGGATGGCCATTCAGCTTAGCCGGCGGCAGACATGAAGGCTGCTATTAATTTGGCGTGGCTTTGGAAACTTGTCCGCCCTAGCAATAGTCATTTTACAGTATGCCACAAATTGGCTGGGTCGCTTAAGCATATAGATAATGACTATCAGCGTTGGGACCACATACTAAAAATAGTCACCGCATCCGTATCGCCGCACAATCTTGGCTATATATCCTCATCACCACCAGTGGCATCACTATCATCGTCATCATCATCATCAACATCCATCTTCGCCGTCGTCATCATCAGCAGCGGAGTGACTGTCGCCAGCCTTCTCATCCACTACATCATGGTAACGATCACCATACTCTCATCACAACAACAGAGACCCTAAACCCTAAACCATGGAGCATCATAGCTACAATCATCGCAGTCATCCCGAGTTAGATCTTCAGCATCATCTTCATGGATATCACTTGATTCTCATCATCTGCTTCTTCTTCATGAGCATCGTCATCACCACTGTTGTCACCATTATCATCATCGTCATCATTCTCAGACTTCTTCTCCTCCTAACAAGCTCCCACCGCCAATAGCAGTGCAGCACTCGAGTAGTCAGTGTGACGATGCTGACCTTCGAACATAACTCGGCTCGTGATTTGACTGAGTGGGTTGACCGACTCTACTTCGTCGTTTTAATCTGCAGCCCGGTTCCCACTTGCATTTATGAGGTAAGCGCTCGCACGAATGGCGGTCTTGGGGGTCACAGTATGGCAAAGTAGCCTGGACATTCTTGTTGGCATTCGTTTGAAATTTACTGTTTGAGTTTGAGGACAGCTTGCGACCTGACAGATAGACGTGTAGGCTTTTCAAACTGATGGTTTCAGGACCGCATGCGACCTGACAGATAGGCACATAGCCAAACCGGTCCCAACCTTTCGTACGACATCGTACGACACAGACTCTGGCGGCGTACCATGGATTCAAGGTTTGTTTTTGCCCTCTTCTCTACGTAGGCCAGGGGCCTTCCGAGGTCGAGCCTGTCTTCTTCCGACGCTGATCCGGCCAAGCCGTAGATAGCCTCCACTGGTTACCTGGTGCTTTACGGGCCTCGTTCGAGTGTCGAGTGACGTGCTCTTGTGACAACATCAGTGAGGTGACAGCCACGAGCAAGCATTGGCCGGACAACGTTGTCGGTGCAGCATCTTCTTCAGTCTCCAAAGAACGGGACATGTGGAGAGCAGCAAAACCAGACGACCTTGGCACTTACAGTTTCAGAGTCTAAGACTAAGTTGGTCTCGGTTCTTGTATGTCGAGTCAACTCGGGCGAAGCTGTACGCAAACTGCTGTCTACAGTATCTGGATCCAGCCCGTGGGGTTGGCGTGTGTATTGTTGAGATCAGCACCGAGATTCATCGAGATTCCCTGCATTATCATCTAATTAAGTTTCCGCCTCTCCATGTCGTGGCATTCTCCATTTGCATTTGGCTCACGACAGTAGCCGCTGAGAAGCTCGTGGAAAACCCTGCCGAGACTTGGCTCATGTTTGGGGTTCGTCGGACCTGCCCGAATCACAATCGAAGTCAGAGAGCATCTTGAGGTGCAGATGCCTACGAAAATCATGTCAAGGGTTTAACAATAATAGAATAGGCCGGTCGGACACATTATTGCAGCGGTGTCTGCAGCCTGCTACTACACATGTACACTGGTTGTCCAAGATACCACCTGTGCATCGTTGTATGTCGTGCTGCGAGAGAGGGCAGAACATTGCTCGGCCTGTGCCCAGGCATGGTTTCTCAGTGCGCAGCTATGCACCGTATTCTTTTGACGGCTACGGCCGTGCTTTGGGGCATCGGCACCTGGGATGCGAGGGCAAACATAATTGTGGTCTTTTTTTGAACTTCAAGGGATCATAATCTTGTCTGTGCTGCCTGTGCAGCGGACTAGCTGAGGCTGCTTTCTAGCACGACAAAGCAATCAAATTGTTGTGTTGAGTTGGTCACGGCTGGCAACAGAATTCTTTTTCAACGGTGTTTCACCGAGGCAATGCAGAGTTCGTGGACGCCGAAGAGACTACATGTGATGAAGCTGTATGCGCTGGACACGACAGAAGCGCTTCTGAGGACATGGGTCCTACTCAAGAGTAAACAAATGCTGTGATGGCTATCCTTGATCTTGTAGTTCCCTCCACAGTCATTATACAGCTAGCCTCTGACGTGATGCTCCCGGCCTGAAGTGGCGCTGTCACTGGGCCCGAGCGCGCTTTGCAACTCAGGAGGTCCAGGCCCTTCGAACGGAGCTCCTCCAGACTGCTGTGCAGCTGAAGCGCAGTCGCTAAGCTTCACCTTGCAGGTACCTAGTGTTCTGTTCAGGGAGGCGATGGTGGAGGATGGATGGAATTCTCCTAGCGTAGGCCATGCTTTTCCGGGAGGTGAAGCCGCCGCACGGCCCCGATCTCCCGGCGCCACCTAAAACCCAGAAACACTGAGGCAAGGAGGCGGAGCCGCCCAATGACATGCTGCATGACTTGCAGCTCGAGACTTTCCAGGCTACTGTTTTGGGGAGTCAGGGGTGGGAGCGTAGCGGATGGCCTCTGGTGCCAGTGCATGTCCGACCTTTATTGCAACCCGTGCTAGCCAAGAAATACGTAGGCATGTAAAACCAGCCTGTTTGTCGGACATGAGCTTCAGGTCGCAGCGTACGACAGCGTCTGCGTTGCTGTCATTCATGTTCGTCAGAGAAACGGTCACAATGGCTAGCTACATCTAGCTACTGCTGTACGCCTGGTGTTTTGATCACCCTGTTGTTCATACTGCCCCTCGTTCACCAGAGATGCCAAACGAAGCAATTTTCGAGTTTATGAAATTCAAGCAGCAAGTGGGAGGGCATACCTTGACATGCTCACGACAATCTTGAGATGCGAATCAGAGTAAAGAAGAAGCCCTGTCCGCGATCTCCAGAGGCCATGTCCGAGCACCGAGAAGCCCTGCGAAGGCAGGCGGATGCCATGGCAGCAGAGACCAGGACGGCCGAGGCAAGACATGCAACGGATGCCGGGTATGTAGCAAGCTCTGCCTGCATTCTTGGATCGCGAAGGCCTTGAAGGCCATGAACCACGAGACGTCGACCGGCCCACCCCAGGCAAGGGCTCTCGCGGAAACTGCTGCCACTGACTTTTTATCGACATGGCCTGTCTGCAAAACCTTTCAGGAGCAGATCGCACCGAGCAGCCCCAAGCCCAAGCATGCGATGCTCGGCTGGTCAGGCTTGCAGGTCGAAAGAGTGTTCTGCATGCAGTCAGAACCAGAAAACACGCACCTGGAATTGGACTTGTGCTCTTGTGATGCAGCGACATGCTTTTCTCGTCAGCAAAGGAAGCATCATCACCACGGGGGCGAGAACAAGCTTCTGCAGGCTCTTTCGCGGCTTCTCCGGTTCCCCCTGCTTTCGGATCCGTGCCAGCATGCCTCAATGCAAGGATATCGTGGCATGAGAAGGTCACAGCCGCAAAACACAGCAGAAAGGTAAACAATGAAGAATTCATAGTGAGGCTGCGCCATAGCTCAACGTATACATGCTGGAACCAACCCGAGGACTCTAAGCCTTTGAGCTCTACCTTGCCGAAGCATTGATCATTTGGCGATCCATTCCCTGCAACCGGGAACCTGAAAGGAGCCTGGAAGCATCTGGAAGCATCCCCTAACTCAACAGGAGGCAATGATTCCTGCGGGTGCCCTCGCTGCAGGTGCAATCAGCCACAATCACTCTTAGCAACTTTGGAAGTTCGCTCTGGTCGGAAATGATGCTGTGCTATGCTGATTGTACAGATTCCTTGGAGTTCACGGCTGGGAAAGCATGTCACGCTGACACCATGTGTACAACAGTGCTGCTTTGATTCAAGATATCCTGTTGCCATGTGCCAGGCATGCTGCTGCTGTGGTACCAGCTGACCACTGCCGGGATCCTTGCCATCTATTTTGGGGCTCAGGCCAGGCAGCAAAGAATCATAAGCTCTTCACATGTTGGGTTTAGCAGATCCGAGATTCCAGTGTCCGCTTTTGCGACTGCTGCGGTGATGTCGCTCGGTGTTGCTTTTGCTGCAGGCTGGCTTCACCCTCTACATGAAGGTCGGGCTCATTGTCGAGCGCCTTCATGCCGAGTGCAGTCCTGCGTGTTTTCAGTTCATGGATGGAGATGAGACCTTTTGCAAGAGAGCCAGTGTTCCTCGAAGCCAAGGTAGGGTGTCTGCACGGCATTCTCTGTTCAGGTTGTCCTCTCCAACTCGGTCATCTCACAAGAGCTAGGCTCCTTGGGCTCTCACAGCATCGGAGTGCACCCAAGTCACAGCTAGCAGACTCTGCAGGCATCGACGGCGTTCCTGCCGGCTTCCTCGTCACGGCAGTGCAGCAGGTTGTAGCATTCTTTGTGTCCATGGCTCGGCAAGGGCTCAAGCTCACTTTGGCTGGGCTTTCATCACATGTCGACTTCAGGTCAGGGGTGCAGAGAGTCAGACAGAGTCCATCCCGACAAGGGTCAGCCAATCTAACAACCAGTTGCATGCTTCCTCTGCGGCCTCGTCCTCTCTGCTGGAAATCCTCATGTGGATCCAGCTGGCGAGATGCTGTGGCATCTACCAAGGTTGGCCATCATCGTCGCAGCGATGTACTGCACGCCCTACCGATACACCCCTCGACGGCTCAAAAGCTGGTCTGAGGCAGTGCGGGACATGCTCAGTTCCAGCCGGAAGCTTTGCAAAGCCGTCATGCGGTCATTAATGACTCATGCTTCCCCACCGCTTTGTGGCTTCTGCACTTTTGAGATGAGTGTTTTGGTGCCAAGTCCCGAGTAGACGGAGAGGAAGAAGTTCAGAAGTTTATCAGCATAGCACAGAGCAGACGAGCATTCAATGCGTCACTTCTGTGAACTTCTATGTGGCAACCTCGCATTCCTGAAAGGGTGAACTCCCACCGAGCTTTGCACACGTCTGCCTGCACTCTTCTGTCAGGTGGCCTGTGTGATTCTTTTTTCCTTCGCCTTCTCCGTGAACATTGGCCTGAACAACTTCAGTCTGTCTTTACTGGCCGTCTCGCTGAACATGATCATCCGGCAGCCTGGCCAGCTTCAGGCAGATTGAGTGCACGTAACGTGACTTTGGATTCAGATGGTCCACATTTCAACAGCGTCTGCCAGCTCGGGGCTCAAGGGGCCGCGCCGCACCCCAAGCCCAAGCAGTGGGTTCGCTGTGAAGCCGCGCAATTCTGGGAAGACCCAGCACCTTCCACCGCGTCCCGCTCTCCGCTTTCCGTGCCGGGCCTCGAAGCAAACCAAGCACCTTCTCTCTGCCCAGGTCCTGCTTGCCCATCGTCACCCTCGCCTTTCAGCAAATCCTGGGACCCTGCACCCTGTTTGGAATTATGAAGCCTTTCGTCGATAAGTCTTGTCAATCTGTGGTCTCTCCCAAGCAGAGGGCTATCAATTAGATGGGTGCCGGCTGTCTGTTGATTTTGAAGGATGTTTGGGTCCGGTGGTGTGTCTGGGTTGCCTTGCGGCCAGACTTGATATCTTGAAGTTTCAGAGTTCTCAGATGATTCGCCGACCTCGGAAGGCTTCAACTTTGCTTCACGGGCTGCCCTGGGCTTTTTGCCAAGCGCGGCCGGCCCAGTCCTCGCTGCCCAGGCATCCCCGACTTAGCGCAGAAGGTCCGGATGACGGAGGTCACCTTGATGGTGGCAGGCAAGGATCGACTTGAGACCGGTGAGTAGCGCATGATCTTCAAGAGAGTGTAAAAGTGTCCTCTCTGGCGGAAGGTGTGGTCTTCGCAGCTGTAGCTACGCTGGCTAAGAGCGAAGGCCTCCTGTCAGGGTCATGCCGTGTGCGTCCTTAGCAGTAATCACAGTTTCGGTACTCCACGAAGACGAAGAGTCCAGAAGAACAGCTGCGACACGGGGTCACTCCGAACGCGGCAAGGCTCGCATCATGGTGGTAGCGAGTCCAAGAACCTTTTGCTGGGTGTCTTCGTCTGCACGCTGCTGCTTGACAGCATCTCATGAATCAGCGTCA